AGATTTCGGGCGATCCAACTAATTCTGCTCGCAGTTGCGAGTTGGATTGTTGATGGAAACCCCTTGCGACAACGCAGTTCACTAAACACGGCGGCTAAAGACACCTCAAAATCGGACATGATAAGAAAATAGTCATAGATGATATTGGATTTCCCAATTCATGTTGGCAGCCTGTTCCGAGATCCAATTTAAATGGGTAATCATGCATAACGCGCTTCACCACAAGTCGGCACTCGTTACTCATTGATTAATCCCCTGTTCGCAGTGTTGCTTTTCTGTTGGAGACTTCTTCCCCACAGTGTTGCTAACCTTTCTTCGGTCTCACACTGTGTGCAAGGGAGGCAATTTGGTCTGAATAACAGTTGAGGAGCGCCGGTGAGGGAAGCACCAGCTTTTATCGTTGCGGTAGAATGTAGCAATTGGTAGGGACTCTGGCTCTGATAATCGATGTTCCATGGCTAACATCATGAATAATATGGCAAGGGAATAACTAGAGGATAGTCGTTCACTGTCCAGCTTTTGTCAATGCGTCCAACGTGGACAGTCACGAGAATGTTTTCAAGTCTGTTGAATCCTGACTTCAAATGACACCTGTTCTTTCTAATTTTTATTGAGAGATATAATAACTTCAATCGGTCTAAATGCATGGTTTCGTCTGAAGTGGAGAGTGATATAAGAGCTCTTTGCGGCAGGTGAGCTTTAAAACAGGTTAAACTCAAGTATACCTCCAAAAAAAGTACGAAACCCCTGCCAATGGCCATAGTCTTTGAAGAGAAGATATTCGAAGCCGTACATGACAATCCATATGTGGTCATACTGAGGCAAGATGAACCCACTTGTATCTCACGCGCTTAGCGATTCTAGGGCAGTGGATGTCGACAGTTGAGTGTAGAGTTGAGAACGCTGAAGGAACTCACTTCTGAGAGCCCTGATCAGACATTGGCCCATGCAACTTCAAAAGAGTGACGATCTGCTTCTGTGGCCTCCTGCGTGCCGCTCCCGCAGTATACGCAGCCTCACCCTTCCCTAGCGGCTAGCGTGTTGTGCTAGCGCCTATTCTACAAAAGTCGACGCGCCATGTTCTAACTAGGTACTGACATCTTCATCTTCTTCGCTGTCAGAGCTCACTCTCTAGTAAAATGTTGGTGACGCAGGGCCAAACCAGGAGTGAGGTGTCTGATAACTATGAGTGGAGGTTCACTGGCGCCGACTTTGCGCACTAAACTTCCAGTGCGGCTTATGCTCGCTTGACCACTAGTTAGACTCAGAAATATACTGGCGCTAACTGGATACAGTTAAACCCTCGGCTAGCATCATCATGATAACTCACTGGAAACTTGGAAGGAAGATATCAAATACAACTGGACATCATAGTATGTATAGCTGTGGTCTATGAATCCAAGCATGTTTGCGTAACCTCTTAACATTTGCCCATTTACGGCCATGGCTTCACCTATTTTGTACAGAGATTATATATTCCTTCAAACAAGACCAGCAACTAACAGCTAAGCAGAATCCAGTTGGGCTCTGCTTCGGTGTTCCACACAGATTTGAGCAGTTCAATTGCTTTCTAACAAAATAGAGAGATGGATCGTATGCAACCAGTCAAGCCGCACACCAGAATTAATTCCATCCCAGCTTGGATGGATGAGATAACGCGGGCAAATTAAATGAATGTAGAAAACCACTTCCTCAGAATGTAGGCAGAACAACGCTCGCCTACCTCAGGGAATTCTCTTAGAGAAAAGATACCATATCAGACATGATCTCAAGATAAATGATAAGAATGGCCGAACATATCACTTATACTACTTATGATTCTGTAGGGGACGCTAACTGGCCTCGCAGATTTACATGAACAGAGCATCATACACGGCGGTTAGGCAACAGCATAGCCCATATGCTACTGTACCCTGTGCTGATATCGTTCACTCTCACAGACATCAGACCCAACAATGTATTTGTGGACTATGATGTGAAACTTGATGGTTCTATCAGGGTAAACCAAGCCCAGATCAGTGATCTTGGGATGGGGTCGATGATTCCGCCGGGCTTAAATGTCTGTGGTGCTCGACTAGAAAATCCCATGTGTTGTAGCTCTAAGTCCCATGTTGTCTCCCAGATCAATTACTCATCTGACTTTTTTCTTTCGGCTTTGTTGTGAGTAATCAACCCATCCAAGGCTTGGATTTGTTAATGGCCTTGATGTTTTAAAGTGCATATATATGATGCTTCAGAAGATTCTTTTTCATTTCAATTCAGGGGGGTTGACTGAAGAGGAGACGGAAAGGTCAGTTGCAAGACACCTGCTCTCACATTTTGGAGATAGCCCAGGACTGGTCAGCCTTGTGGAGCATTTGGATTACAACACTGCACCATGGCGAGACCTCGTTTTGGATGTGACCAATGAGTTCTCACTGGAAAACCCAAGGAAACTGTTCTCCATGTGGGAGGATTTTGACAAATGGTTCCAAGATCTCATCACAAAGATGACCAGCGTGGATCCCGCCAGAGAGATCACACCGAGGGCGGCCTTGGACATAGAATGTATAGCGGGAACTGAAGACTATGCATGCTATTTCTCCGCGCCAAACCAACTCAGTTTCCTCTGGCTGAATCGGCCGCATTCAATCTTTTTGGTGTAAGGCACATACTTCGTAGAAAATTTACGGATTCCCTTCGAAACTCTTGAAGTTTAAAGTATAGTAGGTAGATGCCTGTTTCGAGTCCGGTCTCTGATGGTCAACATTCCATAGTGCTCCTCAGATTTCAGACCAAAACCAAGAAACAGATTCCTAAAATATCGCCATGCCCCTTATACCTAGCAAATTAAAAAAAAAAATATAATTAATACCAACTAACCGTCAGCCAGCATCATCTTTCCACATATACCCATAAAAGTGGGCTTCATTTCTTGATCAAATGACGAGATGCCATGACATTTTTGGATTTACCCAACTCAAGAATAGAAAAAGTGGCTCCTTTGATCTCTTTTGCTGTTGTGTGCTCCTTCAAAACAGATATTGTGGAATATTTCCCGGGCGGATACGGGCAAAGGATAGATGGAGATGATAGTTGAAGAAGCTAGAGTATAAAGATACAATTTTAATGAAGGGTATGGGAGTGGGAATGGGGTTTAATGGGATAACAAGACAAAATTTATATATCATATCAAGGCCTGCCCCGGGAGTGGGGGGTGGTTGGCATCCCTATCCATGGATCACTCGCTATAATGACACGTGACTCACCCCTATTTAAGCAGTGCTGCGCCCGCTAGATAGTTACAATGAACCAACCTTCCACCTCCATCAGTCATAAATTTCCCTATCAAGGCAGCTAGGTATGATACACGCCAGATGCAAGTTTTCCCACAGCGGATAATATTACTGTCTCTCCCATCTGTCATCCTCTGATTCTCGTCCGGTCATTTCCAATTCTTCTTTGGGCTGGAGTTTCATATTACGGGAACATAAATATTCGCTAGTTTAAACAAGTTAGGGGGAGGGAATAATTTTGAGTGCATGTACATGTACGTCTACCGGATGATTTGAAGCTGATATAGCGTATTGAAGGATGTTAGATTCATATATAACAACTTGAAGGTATGAGTAATTGTAGTAGCGTAAAACATGAATTTTTTGTGGATCTTAAGATATATTTACATGGTTTTTATCAATTTCACCAAGGAGGGGCCCGCGTGGCTAACCGCTGGAGAATTCCACAACCCCCCAAGGATTGCTCCTTTTTGGTGTCGTGGTACAGACAACCTCCCATCAAGTTTGCCTGTTTGACTGAAAGCATACGGTTTCGAGCCAGTCCCGAAAAGGCAATTTCGGGCATCTCCAACCTCTGCTCCATACTGCACTAATTGATACAGCTATGCTGATTCATTTCCCTCAATTTATCACAATCAACTCACCAGGCGGTTCTTGCTACGTGTTGCTGCCAGGTCATCCTATCCTGACTACTAGTACTCGAGCGAATTTGGAAGCGCGCTTTTGATAGGTCTCAGTGGTTCCGACCACGCCAGCTTTCAATTCAACTTGGTGTGCGCAGAGCAAGTAAGCGGATCCCCGTTCTTAGTCTCGCCTCATTGCGGCAGCCATCAAGAGACAAAGTGTTTTTTCCTATGGTCTGCGGCATCATCGTCATTGAGCGTTGGAATATATGCACACCGCTAGCGATATGAAGCATGCTAGCCATGCTCGGAGGCCCTACCCACCTAATCCATGTATGGTGGATAACCAAATAACTACTGTGTGGGGTTTAAGTAATAGCTTATCGAACGGCCTAAAATGACCTTTTTTGGACCGACACGTTACTGAAAAATTAACTGTCAGAATGGAAGGCAAACTCCCACAGCTACTGTTGTATTATTTCTCTCCATTTGCTTCCATGGTTGGGCAGCGAGATATGGAATGAGGAGTACGCTGGAGGGGCCACCTATGAAACTGCAGTTTTCGGCATGACGTGCAGAGGAGAGGGCGTTAACTAAAGACCTTCAAGGCCTTGACCCATTTATTTTCCTCGTCCGTCGCCCCATTCCATCTTTGTTTAGGACCCGCTAATCGCCCCGTCGATACGTCTGACAGTCGTTCCCCATTCATCTAGCCGTGTTGCTCTTCACCACCCCTAAATTCATCGGTCAGGCTTGTGGTAGCTTTGGCAAGTGGATCTTATTTATGGGCCGAGAACACCCCGCCAAGTCCCCATGATTCGCTCGGGTCTTCCTCGTTTTTTAAGCATTGAATCCCTTCATGCAAGACAGTCTAACGAAGCTGGCTAATATTTTAGGATCGTTTTGCTTTTCGTTCCTTTGCTTGGTTGCTTGCGTGACGCTGGCTAGTCTCGGTACTTTGCTGGTAACCAACTGGTGCTGAATGATATGATATGGTGAGGCAGATGAACCCGACAGCCCTCGTTTTCACTATTCTGGCCCCATTGATGCTGTGCCCCGTGGACGCAGGGAGTTGTTGTTCTAAATCGGGGTTTACTCCGTAGATTTTGGTTCGTCACTCCGTTTGCCAATGCAGGGGACAGCCGGCGAGACAGGCAGGTTCCATGACTTGGTTCTTTTTTCTTCTGGTTTTGTCTGGAGACAGCGAGATAAATACTTTATTATCTGCTGCTATTTTTTTCAATTTCTTTTCTTCGTCCTGTTATATTTATTGATATCGTTTCCCATAACTACCTGACCGCTGCTTTCGTTCTTGGGGCACTCGTTGCAAGATTCTTGTGGCCGGTGTGTTGGTATATAATTTTACTGTCGCTTGTACTCCCCTGGGACAACTCATGCGAACCTGATATATTTTCGGAGGAAACCATTACTCCAATTTGTTATTGTTATTACCTACTAGATATCGTATATATATACTTATATATATATATATATTATATTTTCTGGGTTTTGTTGAGTTTTCGTTTGTTTAATTAATCCTCTCTCCTCCAGTTCAGACAGACAGACATCAGCAAACATGCCTGTCGCACATCTCACATTGACCGTATCACATCTACCCACCTCAACTTCCTTCTTTCTCTCCTGCTTGCAGCCTCTTGGATACCGATTTATCGGCCGCCATGATAATAATGTTGGTTTTGGCTCCGTGCCTGGAGAGCCTGCAGACTTTTGGATCGCGGAGGAGAGACCGGGGTAGGGATTTATTCAGCCCATTTCTTTGATGAATGTCTAGCTAATGTCATATTCAACAGAGTCCCCGCTGGTGCGGCCCATGTAGCTTTTCCAGCTCCATCCCGCGATGCGGTTAGCCAGTTTTTTATTGCTGCTCTTAAGGCCGGCGCGAAGATTCATGGAGAGCCCACACTTCGTGATGCGGAACAGAATTATTACAGTGCTGCTGTTATTGATTTCGACGGCAACAGCATCGAAGCTGTCCACCGCCCCAAAGGTTCTGGATCTGGTAAGACTTCCGCTGACAGAGCATTAACGATTATCAAGAATGGCTCTGTCATCTCCAAGACCTCGTCCACCAAGACAGAAAGTGTTGTCCGTGCTAAAGCGGAGATTGGCAGCTACGTTAGCAAAGCCAAGACAGCTGTATCGAAGCCAGGTGCCGCAAGTGCCTCTCCACAGAGCAAAGCACCGCCTTCCATTCAGCTCCAGCAACAACCTGTGCCGCAGCCTAAGGATTCTGTAAATGGCGCCAAGGCTGTCGTTGGAACTCTCCTAGGAGCCGCGGCCGGAGCAGCAATTGCATATTCAATTTTCAAATCTGACTCGTCGGAACCTACACCAGCACAGCACCAGTATGTTGAGCAACCTGTCCCTGCTTTTGCGCCAGCACCTGAGCCGACAGTATACAGGGCCATAGAAGCAGCACCTGCCCGGAGTATGACCTTCGGCGGTATCGATAACGAATACGCTGACTACGCGCGGACCATGCTGTCCAAGAACCCAAGAGCAAGTACCATCATGGACGGCCTTGAGAATTGCTCTAGGATTTGGGACCAAACCCGAAGTGTCGGAGGCGGTAGTGACCATGAATATCATGCTCCCCGCCGCGCATCCAGCGCGAGCGTATACAGTGGCATACAGGATATGGACATCCCGATCCGTGCAATAGAAACCGTTCCTTTCGAAGAGGGCTCCGAGTGTTCCTACTCCTACCCACGTAAACAACCAAGCACCTTCGTCAGCAGCTTCAAAGAGCGGCCCTACCACTACGACGACAACGCCAGCGCCTACAGCTCTTCGACTCTAAAAGCCCCCTCAAAAACCCATTCTCACTGCAACCACTCAACACACTCTCGCCCTTCCTCGCACCACTCGCACTCCTCCCGCTCCACACGTTCCATCATTACCATCAAGGATATCCACTCCAGCTCCAAATCCTCCACCCCAACCGCCTCCATCTACTCCACCACCCACTCCGCTCGCAACATCCCCCTCCCCTCTGGCTCCATAACTACTATCTCCACGTCCTCTAGCCGCCGCCACAGCAGGGATCACCACAGCACCCACGGCGGCAGCTCGCCCACCAAGCACCACCGCCACCTGTCCTCCTCGGCCTCCTCCTCCCCCACCCGCAGCCACCATTCAAGCAGCAAGCATTCCCACACCCATTCGCACGCCCATTCCCACGCTAGCTATGCAAACTCTCCCCGCCACATGCCACTACCAGACTCCGTCGCGGGCGCAAGCACGATATTCCTCGAAGGTGTAGATGTTGATTCGCACGTGACTCCTATGGCAGCTAGTCGCGCGTCAACGTCGCGCCGATCCACTCGCTCAAGCAAATTTGACGAGCCCGTGCGGCCAAGTGATAGCGTTAGCCAGGTGTCGACAAACGTGTCGAAGAAGAGTAGCCGGAGTAGTCGGAGGTGAATTTTTCTTGTTGTTCTGGCAGAGTGTGAAAGAGTGTTGGAGTTTTTGAATTTTGGACCTTCTTTCGCTATGTAGGAGATACCTGGCACTAGGAGTTGGGAGTTGGGCGTTAGGAGTCGGGAGTTTCGAGTTGGAGGATTGCAGCGTTGAATAGAATAATAGAGGGATCCTTTCTGTTTGTTGGAGCATCTGGTTCTGGTCTTGAACTATTTTCTTTTTTTTTAGAAATTTTTGGGAAATTCTGACTAGAGGCTGGCTGGCTGGAGTTCTTCGTGCGATTTTTTTACTTTCTTGCCTTGCTTATTGGTTTCATATCTTTCGGCTGGAGAGAACCAGCGCTTGCTTGGAAGGATGTATCTTTTCCTTTCATCATTGGGGTTTGCTTTGCCGCTTCGCATTGCTTTATTTAGATTTGTTTTTCATTTCTCATGTGTATATGCTGTTATGCCCCCTATTCTGATGTTTTTCCTGGATGACTTTATTTTATGATAAGGACTTAATTCCTGCATTTAATATTCCTTTTCTTCTTCATCTTCTTTTTAGCCCTGTTAGCCCTGCACTCGTTTCATTCCATTTTTCCTTGCATTCTTTCGCCAAAGCGCATGCTTTCTCCATATTTATGTCCCATCCCACTTGCATTCCGCGTTGCATTTGAATACTTAATCATGCATATACATTGTTCCCTTCAGTATCTACATCATCTATATTCTGCATATCTTATTATGTCTTTTAATCTTTTTTTTTTAATAACTCTATGACCCCTCTCCGTTTTCCATCTCTCTTCTTCCCCCGCCATTCCCGGCATTGCTATTTCTGTACCTACATCGTTATATCTTTTCGCCCCCCTCCTTCCCACCAATTAACTCGTTCATCCTAGCTATACATCTAGGTCTATAAATGTTACATGTCCGGTTTTCTTGGTGGGTAAAATTATCTTTAATGGATATCCTCTTTCCTCCCAACGGGTAAGCAATATGGAACTCCCGGCGTAACGCTGAGATGAATTTTATTTTGATGGCACACAATTTCTTCGTTATCTCTGCACTCTGCATTCTGTACACCTGCGTTCTTGGTATACTGTACAGCACATGTATCTATCTGCACTCTGTTACCCTCAAAGTGAAAGGCAAAATTGCTCGGGTCCGTAGTTAGATGTGAAATGGATGTCTATATTTGGGCCTGGAGAAGATGTGCACGAACACTCTCCCCAGACCAAATAATGGATTATGTATCTATAAGAATTACCACCATGATAAAATTGAACTAAAGGGGTTTTTCTTTCTATATATATATATATATATATATATATTTTCCAACTTGAAAATGATCTATGAAATGGCGTTTGAATAATGCAAGAAGGAAGGAGGAGGTACGGAGGGGGGATGTAAAACATATATTTCATTCCGTCCCACTTGCATCTCTCCAGCAAGGCGTCTCCATTTCTTTTTTTCTTTTTTCTTTCTTTCTTTCTTTCTTTCTTTTTTTTTTTTTTTTGGAGTTGGATGTTGGATATCAGATTTAATTTTAAATTTCTGTGTATTTTGTCAGTACATACATAAATAAACATGTTAGGAATATCGAAAAAGATGGCTGAAAAAAAAGAAAATAGGTGCAATTTCAAGCAACAAAAGAGAAATTAGAAGGTATGAATTGAATTCATTTTTGTGACTGATTTGTTCACATCACCATCACCATCACCACCATCATTCATCATCACAATATTTTTCAATGGAGAGGACAAAGCTCTGGCAGGAGCATCCAAATTCTTCATAGAAGAGTAGAGAGGCTCAGAGAGCGGACTTCATGTTCTCTGAACCGCCTTGGAAATGCCCCATTGGCTGGCTGGGAGCGGTGAAGGATAGACACATCATCATATATCCCCAGGACAACTGGTTATTCCATACTCCATACCCTATTCACATGGACATGTATGTCGAGTACATGTATGTATGCCACACACCCCCACCCTGAATTTAGCTTTTCCCTGAAGCTTTCTCCTTCCCGTCCCGCCTTGATGATGTTTGCGGCTTGGGAGGGATTACTTAGTTAAGGAAAATGGCAAAGGGAGAAGTACTTGTGGATAAAAAAAAGATAAAAAGCGGGTGGGCAAACCAATATCTCCCAGGGGCGACGGGGAAAAAGACACGGCGGTAGGTGTCTGTTTCAGGCTAGATATTTGTTCCCTTTATTGAACCCTGTTATCTTTTTTTCAGGGCTCTCTCTAGAGGAGGGCCTAGAAGCGCACGTCCCTTCATATACCATCATCTGTGGTGCCGCCAGGCGCTCAGTTTGCAAAAATGTTCGAATGGAAAGATAGGTAACTCTGCAACTTAGGTGAACGGAAGAAAATCACTGGCCCTACCGCCTTGTAAGAAGGGCGGGATTCTTTTTTCTTTAGGCCTGCTCTGAAAGCTTCACTTAGACTGCTCGGGGTACGCCCCGGGGAAGCGCGTTGAGAGTCCTGTACGGGTCTGGTTTATTTCTTCAGGCAGTGCCAGCAAGGTGCTGTTTTACCAAGCGCTCATCGCTATTTTTAGTCCAAATCAGTAAAGAAGTCTCTTCCGCAGAGAACGGATGTTCTCGAAAAACAGTAATAGTATAATAATAATAATAATAATAATGGTGTGAATGGAACAGAATCATGCCGTATTTTATTTTCTCTTCTTTAGTTTACTGCTTATAGATCTGAAGCACGAGGTCTGATATGCAACGGCCATCAGCAGGCCTATTGACCACTCACTCAGATACGCAGATACGAGCGGCAGCTTTTCTTTATGGGACCTGAGCCCCTTGGGTTGCTGTCAGGTGTTTGGCTTTTTTTTTTTTTTTTTTTCTTGGTTTTGGGAGGGCAAATGGGGGTGTTTCAATGCTGAGGGAACACAGTTTTCTGCATCTACCCAAAAGGATGTCCAAATTCCGGGTTTTATTTTCCTATATCTTAACTCGGAATCAAAAAGTAAGAATTGGATTCAAAGTAGAGAGGTCTCGCGACCAGTAGCCTTGCGTGTAGATAACCAAACTGAGCAGCGACAATAATAGGTCGCATCGAGTCCGGGTTTCCATGGTTTTGTCGCCAAAGGGGCTGTTCATGCCATCGGCCAACACCCTGTGTGACTTATGAAAACCAATGAAAGTTAAGCTGGAGAGGTGGAGGATCCCCCAAACATTCTGCGTGCCAGCCCAACGTACGCATATTTCCAGCCATCGCATGGCCTGTTTTTTTTTTTTTTTTTTTTTTTTTCCCTTTGAATAAAAAGCAATCAGCGCTAAGAAAAGCTTCGAGGCAGAAAGCAATTTGAGATGATTTCGTTTCTCTTCACTCAAGTCAGATGGGTGTCTTTTAGCACGGACAAAAGGATGAAACCAGAACGAAATTCTTGGAGGCGATCAAACCAACTTTTCATGACCCAGGGAACATGGTAAACAACAATTGAAAATTAGTAGTCCTTTGAAATGAGGAGATTGTTTCTTCCAGATGGCGAACCTCCAGAAATGATCATGTAGGGTTGCAGAATCCTTAGCAGGGTTGAACTGTGAGACAATGGCGACGAAGATTCGTGAGAGCTGGAGGCGAAATCCAAATTCACCGGTCAGAACCGGAGGCCAAATACCCTTCAAGAATCCCCCCAGATTTGACCCTTGGCAATCATGCATCTACAAGCAATGCATGGATGGCTGGACGAAATCTGGGTGGCTGGGAGGCCAGTGGAAGGTTGTAGCGGGAAGCTCAAGAATTTCAACCACGGGCAATAGGCAGCCTTTTAAGGTTCCCAGCGCCAAACTGGCCAACGCGACCCTGCAGGGAACATATCGGTATACTTCAAGGGGAGTTGTAACTAGCGAGGCACCCGGGATCAAACGGTCCACGGAGAGTTTTCCGGGCAAGCAACATGTCCAGTCTGAAGTAGGGATTCGAGGGGAATACGTGCCCAGTAAGAGCAATTGTAAATAAATAAATCATAAGGGGCCAGCTGGTCGCCATCCACCGAGCTGCAGCATCGCACCAAGCAACACGGAAATGCAACAAGGTTTAAACATTCGAGAGGACAGATTGACTTCGAACCCTCTTGAGGAGGCGATAAAATGGCAACGAGTCGATAACAGTATCTAGTAATTAATCACAATAAATACCAAATCACTTCTTCGTTCTTCAACTTGTTCTACCTTTCTCATTTTATTTCTTGCCTGATGCTTATGGAAGACACAACAACCCTGGTGGCAGTTTCGGCGACAATTTTCTCCTCGATATTCATGCTACAAGGGAGAAGCAAACAGAGTCAGTAATCACAGACAGACAGCCAAGGATACGGCCGGTCAGTCAGCATTGGGGGAGGAACAACGGACAGACGAGGAAGAGAAGCCTGAGGATAGCCATCGACGAGGAGGTTTGATGGCTCGCCCCAAAACGGGTTAGCGGAGTCGCGTTGATCAAACAGCAGATTTGCATTTAATGGTCGTTTTAGTCCCAAGGCGGCGCCCAAGGACGATGGGGAACAACAACAACACCACCAGCAGCAGCAGCAACAACAGCGCCGACGACAACGATAACGGCAACAACGGCAACAACTGTATTTCTCCCGGCTTCAGCAACAACACTGGTACTGCCATTTGCCACAAGAACAGCTATCACACCCATGGTCAGGCTGCCACTGCTGATCTCTCCATGACTCCGCATTTCATGATCACTGTGCGGGACATGCCATATACTGTGACCAACTCGTTCAAGAGGTAAGCTAATCCTGTCCCCATCTTTAGCTTACCACTTTTTTTTTTTTCTCGACACGCGCCTGACTATGTATCTGCACAGAGGTCTAATGATGCACACCTACGGGCGCCCCATACGGCGCATATTTGATGAAGAATCACGTCCAGCAGCTAAAAAACGACGTGTTCAATCGGACTCCGCTCTAAAGGGTCCCACCGAAGACGAAAACAACCTCGAATGCGCCATACGCGAATCTTCTGCTGCCATCTTGTCCAGTCCGTCGCGTCGCAACTCAATTGCCGCCCTCTCTGAAGACCTGGACGATGATCTCTCAACGCCCCCTTCTTCGCCTCCATTACAACTAACCCCGCCTCCAGTGAACACACGCAAACCCACTTTTGCATTCCTGAAGCGGAAACGCGCTGCCACGAACACTCCTACAAATGGGACCCCCTTGACAGAGGTAAACTTTAACAGTGTTCGGGCATCCCTGGATCCTCCAAAGATGAATGCAAAACATCAACAGGTCCAATCTCAACAACGCACACTGAAGCAGATGCAAATAGACCTGGGAGGGGAGATGCGCAAAACATGCTCCTCCTGTGGGATGGAATATGTCCCCTCAAACGCGGAGGATGTCGCGTTACACAAGAAATATCATGACATGAACTCGAGCGGAGTTGACCTGGGCAAGGCATTTGTGCGGGCAAACGCGTGCCGCTGGGTGTACGAAGCCGCCAGATTCGACGAGGGCTATGTCGTGATAATCGACAGGAAGAGTTCCCCTTCCAGCCGGAACCAGGCCATACGTGTCCTAGAGGTGGTGAACAAGGAGCTTTCTGCGCCGGACATTGAGGAGTCGGTGTTATGGAGCCAGATCCGGCCGCCTAAGCGGCTGAGAAAGAATGGAACGAAGGAAGAAGTGGATCGGTTTAAGGTGTTCTTGCACATGAAGGATAGCAAGTGTGTAGGACTTTGCTTGACGGAGCGGATTTGGGAGTCGCATGTGGTGAAGCGGTCGGGCCGTGATGGTCGCGCAAGGGCGAGCGCGAATGGCGAGCGGTTTAGTAGTTCATCCATCACGGCTAGCGAAGAGGTTCACCCAGCTGTCGTCGGGATCTCGCGTGTTTGGACATCTGCCTCTTCGCGGCGAAAGGGTATAGCAATGGATCTTCTCGATTGCGTGGTGAGCAATTATATCTACGGCATGGAGATTCCTAAATCGCAGATTGCGTTTAGCCAGCCGACCGAGAGTGGGTATCGGTTACTCGAGGCCTTTTTTGGACCGGACGAGTTGTGGCATGTCTATAAGGAGATCTAAGAGTCTGGGGAAAAGCAGCCCCAGTAGATGCGGTTTTGTACTTTTACACATTCGAAATGGCTTTGTTTATTGCGTTTGTATCTTCTCGCAGGACTGAGGGGTACGAGTCAGATTCTTTTTTCGAAATCTGAAGTTGTTTTCTGGGCAACAAAGAAGGGCATTGGGATCACGGATGGAACGGATGGCACGGATTTTGAGAATTGTTCATTTCATTTCATTTATGTTTATCCCTGGGGGTTTCAAAGGTGGATTTACTTTCAGAGCGGGGATATATTGTCGTTTCTTCAGGCGAAAACTGCGGCTACTTAGCAACCGCGGATTCTGTTTTATTTAATTGTGTCGTTTCTCTGCTCGAAACCCAGAATCGTCGATAAAGAGTGCCTGCTATAATAAGATAGCTATAGATACGTAACGTTGAGGTTCGTCACATTAGTCGCCCGCAACACTGTCCAGGCTTATCCTGTTTCCTCACCAACTAACAAACCCACCGTGCGTTCTCGGCTCTTTGTCCACCACATCAGGACCCCGATTGCTGTGTTCTCTCCCATATCACTGGACAAGCCCTCTGCTCTCATGTTTAGATTGAGCCGATCCTCCTACGATGTCTGGATCAAATCCTTTCCGCCATAAGAAGAAGCCTAGCGACCAGACTGCCCCCGCAACTCCACGAGACACACCAGCCATCCCTATCATCAGCTCACAACACTCACTCTGACCACCGCGCAACAACTTATCCCGCATCAGGGACACATGGCGAAGGTGCGCAGCTCGATGCTCCCTTCGCAAAATACAGCTCGAAAATTTCCCATATTTTCTAAGTAAAATTACGCTCTCGGGAAGCTAACTCGAACTATGTATCCCACTCCTCTAGGTCCTTCGCGACCATCCCAACGCCAGAAAACCGTCCGTATCGCCTCTCCACCCGTCCCAACACAGCCGCCATTACATCCCAGTGCTGGCGATCACTCGTCGCCAGCCAGTTATAGATCCCCGTTTCCCCACCGCGGTACACACCTTGGGTCGCCACCCCCTCCTTCTAGAGGAGAGAGCTCCGGGTCAGACGAGGAATCTGAAGGAGATCCTTTCAGTCCGGATGCTTCCGGGAGTGATAATGGGGAGTATAAGGACAATGGAGATGGACGACGTGTTACAGAAGGGAAGCCTGGGGTAATAGGGCTTGGGTTTGACGGGGCCCAGCGTGGGTCGAAAGAATCATATCGCGCAGAGCCGCCTGCGCAACCCGATGGACATGATCCAGGCACATCGCTGGGAATTGAAGATTCGATGACGCCATCACATTTGGCTACTAAGGGGAAGAGAGCGACAATGGATGTTGATACGTTTACGAGAATGCTTCTGACTGGGGAAACAGGCGAGGTGGGAAAAGAGTCAGGTCCCGCAGCGCAGAAACTTTTACAACCCAACCAGGGACCGCCCATCAGCGACAGCAGCAGCAATACAGACACCGGGTCTGCATCAAAGCAGCCTATTTTCGAGACGCTGCATCTCCCACGGATAGATACTCCCCGGACATCACATGAATTATCGACTTCGGAGGCAGATGATGAGCGGCCGAAACTGTCGAATTTGCCCAGCCCAGCGGAAAGGCAAAAGCCTCTGCCTCCGAAAACAAGGCGTGGGAAGTTGATCAATCCCAACACTGGACAGACATCCCCTTTAGCTGGATTAACCTCTATTACTTCCCCAAAACAACGCTCCGCCTCTCCTGCTTCTTTATCATCTCGATCATCACCGAACAGGGAAAGCGGTGATCTCAATAAGCCTTTTCCCCAAGCCACCAATTGATAATTCATCGCTTCCAGTAAGCCCGAAACAGACTTATGAAGATTTAGAGAATCGACCTCCTCTACCGCAACAGAGACGTCCACCTACACCCCCCCCTGACCAGACGACACAGTCAGCTGAATCCCAGCAAATCCATATTATCAAGAAGTAAATCCGCTAGACATTCCATGCCGCCTTCCCCACATTACCAACAACTCTTCATCATCCACACATATCTCATCACCATTAAAAGAACCACCCACTCCTCCATCCCGGCGAAAAGATCGTGATTCGTCAACTTTCTCCTCTTCAGAAACACTTCCATTATTCCCCCAAGAACGACGACCGACATCATCACACCAACGAAGCGATTCCAGGGGAGATTCTTCAGACAAACGGAGTCCCCACATCGTGGAGGCGATATCAACAACATCTAACAATCGCGACTCGCAAGGCCCACCACGCCCGCCTCCACCCAGACGAGGAGGAGGGAGTAGGGCAAGTCTCGATGAGACAAGGACACCTGTCTTGCTGGGAACCGCAGATTCACCAACGACGAGGATGGAAAAGGGTACACAATATTCGAAACTAGAGTCTCCGGGTACGCCATTGCAGTCACATGCCGTTGATATTCTCGCGGACTTGTCACGGCTGCAGAAGGAAGTGGATGATTTACGAGGTCGATATGAGGGGCGGAAGCCTAGTTCGTGACCGCCGTTTTGGGACAGATGGAAGAAAAGGGAGAAAAAATAGAAGAAAGCCTGGTGTCTGCAGGGCTGCCACTGGCTCTCTTTATATATTGTTCTTAGTTGTTTGAGTACTCGATTTAATCCGCATTTTTATTATGTTTTTATGATTGGAAAAACTTATTGAATGATCGAAGCGTATGGCTTCCTGTCTAATGCATCTAGTATTTCATTTTCAGCCACAGCGTTTGTTTTGTATTTTTGTATTTCCCCCCCAAAGGCTTGCCTGTTGATATTTTTACTTCCTTCCAGATAAGTCACTCCCCATGTCTTTCCTAGTTTTATTTGTCTCCTCCTGTGATTTTATAGCGTACCTTACCCAGCTCGTCAGCGTATGAGCCGTGGTATATATACTTATATTTGTTACATATCATGCCTAACTCTCACATCCATCCATATCTGGTTCCCTTTGCTGTCACTCTACTGTTAACGCTTGCTTAGAGCCGAGTGATGCTAATTTGGATATAAGAAAAGAAGGAAATGCACTAGATCAATTGAATAGCTTTTTATCCATTTGGAAACAACATTTTTGTTCTCTGCATTTCCTCTCTCGCCAGACCAAGATACACACGCACTATCTCAGAATTCAATTTAATTTAGACTATACACTGTTACGACCCAGGTTGCAAGACGGCAGCAGCGCTGGAAAATGAGAAACCTGGCCACTGTTATCTTAGCATGTACTGACAATCCAGCGGAACCATGTGTTTGCTCTGTGTAGATATGATTGACTTTCGAGGACAAGTGTTCAATTTGGGGAGCTTTCCCGAGTTAATTTATGCTTCTTTCTGCATAACATGTAGTTAAAAGCCGAGAGAAGAAAGAGAGAAAAGAAAAAAAAAAAAAAAAAAAAAAAAAAAAAAAAAAATATCCTACAAGATATCACAATTATTAGAGGGAAGTGGAATAGAGCAAAAAAAGAAAGGAAACCAAAAACATATCCATGAGTTGTCTGCTACAACTGATGGGGTTTTCGATCCAAGGGGGTAGGTACGCTTACAGTACGGAGTATATTTAGGATCACCGTTTACAAAGATTAGACCGAAAATAGAGGAGAAAATACATCGAAGAGAAACCAAAAAGAAATGGGAAAAAGAAGAAAATCGGTATCGTAACAGGAAAGAAAGAGAAAAAGAATCACCGGAATTATCATCAAACATAAACACCGTCCTTTCCCCCCAAATATCCGAGTTATCTCCATAGCCTTCAAAATAGCAAATGCCCTGGGGAACACAAAAAAAAAAAAAAAATAAAATAAAATAAAACAATGATCTTCGCCATTCATACATAATTCTTCATTTCCATCATGCTCGTAGGTCTGTTTCATTTCCATCTTAGTTTCCTCGTCCCGAATTTTGATTTCTAGATGGAGTTCTAGGCTGAATGAACGTCGCCATCGAGATCAACATGGCCTGGTGGTCGAGCCGCCGTGTCCACAACTCCTTCATCGTACGTCATGCCATCAACCATTCGGGCGTTAAAAGTAGTATCCGCGTTGCTGCCTACCAAGGGTGGCTCTGGTGTATTGGACCCCAATGGAGATATTGTTGAACTGAAGGGCCCATTCTCCGTTCTCGGAGTTGGTTGTGGATACGACGATGACGTATGGCCGCTGCCTGTCGGCGGCCTATTGTTTGGCGCAGGACTATTCCTCCCACCAACGCCGCGGTTGTTGGAAGCGAAGGCAATTCTAGCTGCGGCGGTTGAAACTGGTCCGCTGACGGTGCTGCTTGCACCCTCACCGAATCCGACAAGGCTGGAATTTCCCTCGTCGCTTAACCCGCCTACGCTGGAGACACCGTCGTCGTCGCCAAGTCTGTCTTGGTCCAGGCTATCGCTGCCACTGGCCCAGGTTGTGCGGCCGCCAATGGAGCCGGTGGCACTGGCACTGCCCACTGTACTTCTCTCTTTGAAGTGAGACTGTTGTAGATGGTCGAAGTAGCCTGGATGCTGTTGAGTGGTAAATCCACCTGGTAACCCATGGGGGTTGGCCGAAGGTGTCGTCCCGCCTCCGGTAGGCCTCGTGGCGACGCGCTCCAGACCTGCTAAGCGCGAGATACGATCTGCGCGTTCCGCATCCAATGTTGTTGTGGACGTTTCGGAAGCGTTTGATGATCGGTGGCCATGGCGGGTGTGATGACGAGCGCCCTGGTGGCCGTCCTTGATGGCTATGGTCGAAAGCGCGGAGAGCGATGTGGTCCCAGAATTGGGTGTTCCACTGGGATGAAAGAAGCAGTTGTTAGTAAAAAGTGAATTTTAGATTCATGGTCTTGTAGAAATAGCTCGCGAAGGCGAAATGTTATTCTTGGGGAGGTATAATTCTTACGGGCCCATATCTGATGGAGTGACCGGATCCGAAGGGGGCGGGGGAAAATCAATCAACGTAGGAGTCGTCATTTTTGATGCACAAGAGCGTTCTTGATTTCTGATAGGAAAAATGGTGTCGCAAGAACGAAAGCGCGATTAAGGGATAATAAAATAATAAAGAAGAACAAGAGTTGGTAGATATAGAGCTAATTTTTGCGCGGTCACAGGTTTGGCGATGTATTTATGCGCCGTTCGTTTGATCTGCAAATCCAATAAATTTACCTCGCTACTTTCCTCTACCCTGGTTGCTCAAACTCCTTTGGAACAGCTGGCAAGTTAAGGCTTAGGACGTAGCGGAAATGCTGGATATGGTTGGTGTATTTTGTTGGCTAAATCCCATGCGATTCGGGCTCACAGCTCGAACGTCGTGCTCCGAATGGCTTGGTTCGTCCCAGGATACTCCTGGGTAGAAAGATGGTCTGGCAGCCTCTAGCACTCCGGAGAGGTATGGAACAGTCGAAAATGCTTGTGATCTGGCCTGGAGAGACGAGAGAGACTTAAGCAGCGTCGTTCTGAAAACGTCAATATCATCCAGGCGCAATTGCGCCAAACGCGATCTAAGGGGACAACGAATGCCTACAGACTCTCCACCAATTCAAAAAGAAGGCTCGAGCCAAAGAATTCGCAAAGTCAACCGTGAGTTGGGTTTACGACTCAAAGGAGCGTCGTGAGGGCGGTGGAAGACAGACGAAGTGTGGGTTAACTTTGAGGTTCAAGTTGGAGGACGAAACAACGTCATAGCAACCAGGAAACATCCCACTCTCAAAAGGGTAACACAAGTCATCACACACTCTGGAGCGAAATACAATGTCCGTTACTTTGAAACAATGAGTTCTGATGTCTCTAATTATCCCTCACGCGCGATGGAAACGCCTATGCCCATTGTTTATTCTGTATCTACC